CTGAAACTTACATCATAATTCTCTTAAGTTGTGCTGACATGCCTCATCTTTTCTAATTCACTTATGGTTATTTTTATCTCTCTCCTTGCCCTGACTCCTTACCATCACTTTTTGTATGCAATCACTGTAATGTGCCTTCAAGACTGACCTCATATATCTGGTGGAGGGAACATCAGAGATCACCTATTATTAATGTATTATATTCCTCCCACCTTCTACTGCTCATCATTATGATAGCAATTTCTTTTTCTAGCTTTCTATATCTGCTTGCCAGTGGTGATAGACAGCAAACTAAGCAATGAATTAACCACTTCATTGCTGACTTCTTAAGAGAGTATCCATTCAACTGAATGGAAAGCTGAACAATTAGTCCCTAGTGCACTATATTTCTATCCAGACCTCCAAAGCCTATTTTGTGGATGCAAGTACAGTCCATGCAGGAAATATGACTGGATATTTCTTTTGATGCTGGAATATTCACAGCCCTTCACCAAGGAACTCAAGGAGGAAGCAAAATGCTATAGGACTGCTTCCCTATAAGGCCTATTGAGTCCAAAACTATGTCTTGCATTGTGGTCCATAGACATTTTGTGGACTTCCCAGAGAGTTACTGACAACTCTAAGTCAGTACCACCTGTCTCCACCCCTACCACCTTGATAGCAGCACAATAACACCTGCTTATATAGTTTCTTGTAATTATGCTTTTCTTAGTGCAGTCACAGACTTCACCATTGCATATGGCAATCAGGCTGGGCAAATTGGCATGTGGGGATGACATTCGGAAATGTACTAAGTATTAAATGTTCTCTTTGCATGTTAACATGAAGATTTTCTTTATCAGGAGGGTGAGAAATTATCATACAGTGTTTCAGAAACCTCCAATATTTGAATCATTAATGTTTGCTAATCCATGAAAGATGCAATATAGTTTTGCACTTTTTCTCCCTTCTCCAACTTCAATTTCCATAGGGACAAAAACATATTTACTTGTATAAATAACAATCTAAATGAGATACAGTGGCAGTAACTATGCTGACTTGCCCAGGAAGCCTGTTAGAAGTGGATGGGGCTTTCAAGAGTTTAGTATGAGCAACTAATTCCTGAAGAGTTCTGAAGTGTAGGGTGCTGCATGGTATTACTCTGCATCCTTTGTATTTTAGGGTATATATGATTTGTATAAATGGAGATTTAGGGAGGAGGCATGGAGCGTGGTGTTGTCAACATACTGACAGCACTCAGCGGTATGTCTCATGCAAGTCTGACAGTGCAGTTGAACACCGCTGCCTAGCTGAGACTGAGGCATGGGTGGAGAAGAAGCTAGCTACAGCTCAACTGAGGAAATACTGAGCCATTGAGGGAAGCAACCAGAGGAAGTGTAGGAGGTAATATCAGTTCCTTTTATTTAACAGGCATGGTTCATGTTGCTTACTAGGGAACACAATTTGGGGATTATTTTTTGAATCTCAGTTGCTTTTGTAATACAATCAAGCATTAATTCAGCCAGATGCATATGATTAAAATCTAAGAGACTGCAAACTTTTTTTGCATAGAAACCTAGTAACAAAATTAGATAACTGTGGCCACAAGATTAAGTTGCATCTACTTTATATAAAGATACATTTTAAAAACATTTGGAGACATGCTCATATAGAATGCATCAGCCTGTTTATTAGGTGAAGTGTCTTGTTGGAGAATGGGGTGTTGGTTGTATAGGGTGCTGATCTAATAAAAGATATCAGATTTACCCAGAGAACTTTGTCTGCCTTATTGAAGAATGATACCACGGCCTCAGCAAAGTTTAAGACAGTGGTTATGCCTCTAATGGTTTGGGACTTACCAATTTTAAGAGTGTTGTGTTAGAATCTCCTTCTCATAAAAGAAAGGGGCAGTTGATACATCTTCCCCTGGATCCAAAATAGTGTGAATGTGGTAACCTGCTAAAGACATCTGTAGGGAATTTGGAAATGGATGAGGGAAACAGTGAAAGTTTTTCAGTGGCTGGTTAGTTGATTGAACTTCTGCTGAATTGATCATGCTGTCATTGCTGAGACTTAAATTGTATTAGTATGATAGGGTGATGAGAGATTTGGATCTAAATAAATATGCTAATGCCATTAATCTTTTAAGCATGTACAGGGTAGACTAGATCTCTTTAGAAGTCTGAGCTGAGACTGATTTGATTGCTATGGACTATAGGTTTTTTTGAGCTGACAAGTGCTGCACAATAACTTTGTTCACATATTCTATGATTCTGTCCCACCTGCTTGCTCAGGTAAAAAAAACTTTTGCATAAATGTCCTCCTTTTTTCTGGAGGCTGATTGCAACAGCAGTTCTAAACCTTGTTTCGTTTCTAAGAGGTTTTTAGGCACCATATCACCCATAAGCATCATCATAATGATCTTTGTTTTAAAGATCACTGCCAAATAAGGCAATTAAAACAATCTAGGCCCCACAAATCTTACAGATTAAAAATCAGTCACAGCACTAACCATTCACTTACTATTTTGAGAAGCTATGAGCAAAAAAAATAGTATATAATCATATGCAGTGTCAGACTCTGTTCCTCTTGAATGCTCATTTGTAATGGATGATTTCTTCCGATGTCAACAATACACTATGCCCTAGTCAGAATAACCTAACTTTCCTCCTCACCTCTTGGCTCAGCTACTATACAGCATGTAAAATAATACATCCTCTACTTGAATTTTAAAAGCTAAGGTTCATACAGAATTGGCACACCCCAATTAAGTGTGTGTGTGTGTGTGTGTGTGTGTGTGTGTGTGTGTGTACGTGCGTGCGCGCGCATGCACTATTTTTTCCAAAAGCAGATCGAGCCCTGGGTCCTGATCTTAAGCGTTCAGTAGGCAAGGCCTGTGCAGGAAGGGAAACCACCTTTCCTGATTTGCTTCCCTTCTGTCAGCCATGAGCCATTGGCCACCTGCAGCTGAGGCTTCAGGTTGAAACCCAGATATTCACTCTCAAAAGAGCTTGACTTGTCAAATTCCAATAAATGAGGAATGGTGTTATGTCTAAACCCCTTGATTAACTATTCCAGTGGTTCTCAAGCCTTTTAGACAGACTTTCAAGGCACCTCTCCATAATTTATCTAAAGTTATCAGCATTCCACTTCAAAATGCTCATTTCACTTGTTTTTTGACGATAGAAAACCACAAGCACAGTTCTCCTGTGGTAAAAAACTCTGAAAAACCAACACAAGTCAAAATGTTTTGCAGATTCCTAGTTGCCACCTCTGGCTTTTGTCTTGTCATGTTTAAGCATCTTTTTTTAATATATATTTCTTTTTTATTTTAAATTTTCCATATTCCAAGCCAAAATTGCCCAATCAAATTCCAAATCCGTGAGTCAGTTCAGAACCGTAAGCAGCCCTACTACCGGCAAACATCCTCCACCCCCATCTGGGATTTCAGATGTTTCCAAATCCTTTGGCAGGCATCCTACTTGCAGGCGCAAGCCTGGAGGTTTGGGGTTCAGCAAGTTTGGGAGGAGTCCCCCCTTTCAATAAAGTGGGCATAAAGCCAAGACCTTCCCACTCCAGTAGCTAAGTGGGAGGCTTACTATACTATACCTTGGCAGGTACTATCCCCGTGCCAGGAGTGTGGTCTTCCCCAGGTGCAACTAGGAAGATCGCCTCAGTGGTCCTGGTGTTTCCCTTGCCAGGCAGGCATAGGACTATGCTTGATCTAAGCCCGCAAGCATATACACACTGAACAGCGTTAATAATGGCCTCCCAGGGCCCCAAAAACAAGCTCTGTCTGGTGCCTTTCCCCCCTCCCACTCTGAAAACTGGGAGTGCTGGCAGAGATCCCAGGGCTATGGGTCCCTGGCTATGGGAACCTGGATTCCCCTCTCTCCTGGGTGAACTTCTGTTTGGTCTGGGATAACGGTTATAACTCAGCGCGCTTTGCAGAAACCGTTCTCAGTGGCAGCTGCAAGCTGCACTGCTGTCTGCACCCTGTGGCACCATGGTCGAGAACCACCAGGCTGTCATCCATGTGATGTGCCTTATTTTTAATTCCCAAGCAGCTAGGGAACATCCCTCCCGGTGAAGGCTCTCACAGAGCTTGATGTACTGTTGACATAGTGCCACGAATCAAACGTGTGATAAATAAAGGCTTTCTCACAGTGACACCTACGTGCGGGTGCGTGGGGCATGCAGGGCATGCAGGGCCCGTCAGCCCTGATGCAGGGAACGGCTCCCAGTGCTATGGCACAGCCTCACAAACCAGGGCGGCGAGGAACTGAGGGGGGGGGGCTGCGATGACATCTGCACACCAGACGGAGATGACAGGAGACAGCCGTGGGGAGCACTGGTGGGGGCGGGGCGGGGCTTGTGCCGCCTCACAGAAACGGG